TTATTTGTTATTTTTATTATTGTTTTATAAATAAGCGTCCTTATTGCTTAGCGACTAGTTAAGTTATATTATAAGGATTATATTTTCAAGAAGATTCTGTGTTTAAGTAAAAATTATTATTTTTACTTAAACTCGTATATTTCTTGAAAATAAGCCTACTAATATATCTATGAAATCTTTAAAACTCAAATAATTAAATAAAACCCTAATAAACATATGAATTTAACTAAAAAAACTATTAACTAAAACTAGAAAGTAATACTTTACCGAGAAAAAAAAACCTACTAATCCTGTTAAGTACCTACTAAGTTCCGAGTAAAAACCCTAGTAATACTACTAAGTTTCCTTCTAAAATCTTGCTAATCCTACTAAGTTTCCTACTAAAACCTGCTAATCCTACTAAGCTTCCTACTAAAACCTGCCAATCCTACTAAGTTCCTAGTAAGTACTCGGCGGGAACTTACTAAGTTTTAGAAGGTAACTTATTAGGAACTTAACAGGATTAGCGGGTTTTTTTTTCTCGGGATATATATATATATATATATATATATATATATATATATATATATATATATATATATGTATATATAGACTACACGCTAAGAAACGGCAGGTTCACATTTTCTTATTTTGAGATAATTCAATATTAAACTTTTAATTTTGCACAACTTTTTAATTAAAATATTTAGAGGTTATATAAATAATTTAAAGCGTAAAAATTTTTACGCTGTAAATCTAAATAAAATTAGACAGAAGCTTATTCTATGAAAGTATTTTACCCTTATAGTATAAGGTCAAGCTTATAATATAAGAATAACCTTATAAAATAAAATCAACCTTATAATATAAGATCAACCTTATAATATAAGATCAGTCTTATAATATAAGATCAACCTTATAATACAAGATCAACCTTATAATAGTTTTGGGCCTAGCATAAATTAAATAACTTTTTTAGTTCTAAATGAGTAATTGCATTTTTTGAAAATTTTTTCTATACAAATGTCACAAAACTGTATAACAACAATAACAATTACAATATATATTCTGAAATAAAAGTTTACATTTCTTGGTTGTTTACGAATAGTACGAGTATTGATCTAAGGTCTTTGATGATTGGCCACTGCTTTATTGCAGAAATTACAATGGTACTTAATTGCCATGTAAAAATACAAGTTAAAAACAAAGCAATAATAAATAAAGTATGTTATAAATCAATAACAAATATATATAGTACAATTTAAAAATAACGGATATAACAATTAACTCGTAATCATAAAAAATATATAGTATTAAGAATTTTTTATAGCTAAATTAATAATAAATAATATAATAGCAGATAATATATGAATAATTAATAAATAACATTAAAAGGTACAACTTAAAAAAACATCGAACAAAAAATAATTAACTATATTAACGAAAAATAATAATATAATACAAGAAAAATAATAATATAATAATAGAATATTATTTAAAAAGTAATAATATAAGTCAAGAAAACTAATAATAATAAAATTAGAAACACAAAAAATTATAATATATTATTACAAATTAAATCGTTCAAAAATAAGTGTAAAACAACCAATCTTCTTATTTTTTACTTGTTATTTTATTTATTTTTCCTCCTTTTTTTCATCTTTGTTTTTTTTTTTTATTTGTTAACTTTTTTCTTTTTGCCGTTTTTTTTTTTTTTTTTTTTCGTTTTTTAATTGTTTTACGGAAGAGTTCTTTTCATTTTTTTTTAGTTCAAAATTCTGTTTATCTTTTTGTAAATTTTTCTTTTAATTTAATTGTTTGTTTTAAATTAATTCATAAGATTATTGACTTGATTATGATTTATTAATGATTATGATTTAAAGGTGACTTTTTTAAAAACAATATTTATCTTTTAATTTGAGTTTTAAAATTTTTTAAACACACACATACAATATAATATGTATATATTTATATGCATTATATATATATATATATATATATATATATATATATATATATATATATATATAGATATATATATTATATATATATATATATATATATATATATACATATGTGTTTTATATACATTTTTAAGCTAAACACAAACTATAAATTAAGCACATGCAACAAACCCAGTCTAGATCTACTATTAATTCATAGTCTTTTTCTTTTAAATTTCGACAAGAACAGTAAAACCAAACGCAACATTCTTCACATTAAATTCTGCTATATTTATTAAATTCTTTAGCATTGATTTCTGAGTCTTCGAGTATAAGTTTATTGCATTTTCCACAAAATGTTATAGGTTTTATATGTAATAATGCTGGAGAAACATGTTTTTAAAAAAATATCTAAATTTGTTTTCATTGGAATATATGCTGTGATGTTTGGATGCAGTTATTCTCCCTTTTCTCATTTGAAACCAGGTATTGCTTTTAGCTTGATCTCTTGTGTTATACTCCACGTTTTTAATTGTTTCGTGTGTTTAAAACCATTTTTTCTAAATATATTTTGTCTAACTTTGACTTATCAGCGTTAGGGTGGTCTAAAAGTATTTCAATCGATTGCTCGTCAATCAGGATCACTTACAATGATCAGGATTACCTGCAATGTTTTTCATCATATTTTATAATTTTTGATTTAATTATTACAGCAGAAGCCTCGGATATATAAATGTTGTTTAAAAATGTTTCAAAAATGAATGTTTATTAAATTCACGGTGACTTTCGATTCTTTGATCAATATCTTGCAATGCTTTCATCCTTGTGTTTTCCTTATTATTATAATTTTTTAAATTATTTGCAAATTTTTTTTTTGAACAACTAGGTCAGTTATTAAGCACGATTTTATATCTTTTCTTGTAGACTTATTCCAGACACACGCTTGCTCTGTGCATGTTGGATTACACCAGCCTTTGTTATTAGCATATTCCATTTTACAAAGGGTGGCAATGACATGATTGCAAACTTCAAAAGCTTCAACCATACACAAACACCAAGCAGAAAGAATATCATTATTATTAAAGGCAATTTAAAGTTTTCTTTTTTGAAAATGCTTTTTGGTCCGTATATTTGCCGATATATTCTAAATAAAAATGTTGTTTGTTAAAAATATATGAAAAAACAATTCCCATTGTTATACTAGGCCACTCAGATACTAAGTCTTTTCTATTTTCTATCGGAACCAAGTTTGGGTCAATTAGATTTAAAGCTTTCAGCTTGTCCGTACAAGATTGATTAAGATTTTTTCCTGTTCTTCTGCTGTCTTTGTAATATTTAATTCCATTGCAGTAAATGCTCCAGCAACAAGCTCAACTTTGCGTTTAGTTAACCTTAGCCTACGAACAGTTAAAAAACTAACAAGTTGTTTGACAGATAAATTTAAAAAATCTTCGTATTTTTCAAGTGTCATGTTAAAATACAATTTTCAATGATGTATTTCTAGATAAACTATTTTTAGATATTAAACAAACAATAAAAAGATAAAGCGTATTGTCAAGTTTGTTTATAATTTTGCCCTCGCGAGAAAAATATTAGATCACGTTATTCATTGTGCCGCTCAATTACGAAAAGGTCTATTACTCGGAAAATAATAACAAATCGAATTCAAAAATAATACTTCGCAATGAAATGCTGCATACAAAGAAACATTTTATGCTTATATTTTATACAAAGTATATTTAGTTTTTTGAAGTCAACAATTCGAATTATAAAAGAAAATTGTTCTTTTCTAGATACATCAGGTGTAAAATTAGCATTGACTAAATAGTAAACGGCTTTCAAGACTGGATTTATCATTTCATCATTAACCTTTTGAGACATTAAACTTATTAAATCATTTTGAATATCCCGCAGTAATGATCTGAAATGCCAACTTTTATTGCAAGTGCTAAATGTTTTTGCATCACAGGATCAAATTTTGCAAGTATCTGTATTAGTCTTGAGATTTTTCCGTTTTGAGGTGTGAGGTGTGAGGTGTGTGTTTTGAGGTGTGAGGTGTAAACAGTTTATCTGAACTCTCTCGAAAAACCATATTATTCTTAGCTAGGTAAAGAGTGACTTTCATCAAGCGAAGAAGAACATTTTACTATCGCAATCTGTATTTTTCTATAATTTTAAGTTCTTCATTATCTATAGTTTTTACTGTATTTAATTTTAATTCAGTTTTCACCTACTGTTAATAACATTTGAAGTTTTGTATTCCCAATGTTTCAGTTAAATGTCTCAATTTATTGAACCCATCAGAGACTAAGTTTGATTTTGAATTATTATCAAAAAGTAGACAGCAAAAACAAAATACGTAGTTTTTAGAATCTGAATAAACCAACCATCTACGGAAAAAGGTTTCTCCATTTGCAAGTTTTCTATTGTAATAAATGCTTGAAAAATGTCGACAAAAAAAAATTGAACAAAGTTCTCAAGAAACATTGATAAAAATCTTAAAGAAGATAAAACAAAACAAAACTTAATGATTTTTAAAATCGAGTCAACTTAACATTTAATAACAAAAAATATGAACTCTTGAACTTTTTTATAAAAAAATTGTGTAACTTTTTGAAATGACTCCTTCGAGAAATAACGCTTAAATGATACAATAAATTGTGTTTATTGTATTTTTTAAGTAAATTTTGTTCAAAAATCAAAAGTTTTGTTCATAAATCGTTCAACTTTAAAATCGTTTTTTTTTTTTTTTTTTTTGTAAAGGTCAGGCGTAAAATCTTTTATTTTTAATTTACTTTTAGAAAATTAAAACATGTAAATAATAAAAATTCCTCGCCTATTTACTTGCCGGCCTTGTGCGGTGCACGACCTCGCACCCCCCCCCCCCTAAAACCGGTCCTGTAAATATGCACTGAATCTAGTAACGATGCAAAATGAATTGTTGTTACTTCATGTGTCACACTTAATCAAATAAAAAATCCATAATACCCATTTGTAGAATAAAAATTACTCAATCTAGCGTTTATTGGAGTAGCCCGATTAAGTTATTACTATTGTCCAGTTTATAGTTGTTCTGTA